ATCCCCGCCATCGTAATGTGGTCGATGATGGCGTGATGTTTGTCCTTCCGTGTCCCGGCTTGTGACCTTTATTGATTTGACTCCAAGGAGTTCTTCGTGTCTTTGTTTGTGAATCCAATAATCGTTCCTCCATGAGTGTTCCGGTTGAGGTGTTGGTCTTTTGAACGTAGAGGTGCGTAAACTGGATCCAGTGCGATGTACCAGTTGATCGAATCTGCCGTGGAGTACCATGCCTCCAGAAATTCTCTTCTGTGTCTCGCGTCTCCGTAGGCCAAACATTTTGCCTTTTCCAGGTTGAAATTGTGACCTTCTTGATCCTCGTGTATAGATATCAAGGACAGGGGGTCCTACCTCCTGACAGTCGCGTTATGTTCCTTTATTCTTATACATAATTTCCTCCCAGTTTGTCCAACGTAGAATTTGTTGCGGTGGTTGCAGTTGATCTGGTATATCACATTTTCTTTCTGGTTTTGTCTCGGTTGTCCTTCGGTCTAGAGATTTATTTCCTGAGAGTGGCATTCGGTTTGTGGGCCACGAAGATTCATTTTTGCGCCAATAGTCTGGTTGCGAGTTCTGATATATTCTTTATGTAAGGTGGGACTACCCGTCTGGTGACTTGTTCTTGCTGTTACTGTCTTTGAGTTCTCTTCTTCAAAAGACAGGACAGTGAAAGTGTCGTGAAGTAACCACATATTGGTCCTCTTATACTTTGTGTGTTCGACATTGGACAAGTGATATACTAAAATTTCAACCGACCAATCGAAAACTTTCGAACGAAAATGTCTAACTCAAATCTATGGAAGCAAGTGCTTCTACCTTTCATCTTCAAGGTTGCTCAACATCTGCGCGGACATTCTAACCAAAATAATTAGTTGATTTGGTTGACTAGTTTATCAGGGTGGGAACAGTTTCCGGTTGCTCTGTGTTGATGGGGGTTGTGCCCTAATATTATCAAAGCACTGAATTATTAGGTCACTGCTCGAGCATTTTTAACTTTGGAAATGCTGAACAGCGTGACCCACATCTGAAATTAGCGTGATACCGCTCAATTACTGGACCACTCCTTATTTCAGAGGCCTCAACTTTCTGGCCCCAACTGTAGTAATGTCAAAGTTGATTTGGACCAAACGTCTCAAGTAATCCAACATTTTCTTTTCATTTTGAGTCCACTTTAATCAGAGCTCCAAGGCCGACACTGTCGAAGTCGAAATGAAGTTCATTGCGCAGTATCAGATCCAAAATACCTGTTTCACTTCAACAGTGCTTCTCCCTGCTTATTTATCTGGTTACCTGTAAAAACAAACTGCCGAAATCTGCAGTTCCTGAAGAACTTCATTCAATGCAGTGACCTAGTCGGGCCTGTACTTGCCTGTACTTGTCTCTAAACCCATTCTTGTTGTTCTCTCTGATTATTCCACCATGTGCCCAAAATAACTTTCCACCGTTTTTCTTTTTTATACGTTCGTTTTCGGAAAACTTGGTGAAACTTCAAGCGCATCTTTGCGCATAAAGGAGCATTCGAGCAAGCCGTCGTACCCCTGTGGATCCCCTCCTCTCTCAAGAACTTTAGACGTTCGATCTGGGTCCAACGAGAAAGATATTTTTCGTGCAGTTGCTTTGGGTTTGATTTGTGCTGGGAATACATGCTTCAACGTCTTTTTTGGACGAGGGGGGTTAAATCCGTGTATGTCAAAGCGAAATGAACTTTTTCGCCACCTGCTGAACGGATCAGCAAACCGGCATGCGATTGGTTGATTTTTAGTACAAAGGCCTAACCGAACAGCTGACGTCACCACTTTGTAAAGGTGGTAGTAAAATCAAATGAATCATCCCCTATCGATCGCATGTGCACGAATTAACAAAGTTTATGTTGTAGGCTGAATCACGCCATCAAACTACGTCCTAAAAATAGGCTGAAAGAAGTTTAAAAAACCATGGCCTCCAATTGGTGATCTGGATGATCTCTGTGATTCCACTCAACAAACAGTTTTGGACGGCCCATCTAAGAAAACTCTCTATATAATCTAGTCAGACTGACTACTATTCTACACTTGTGCGGGGTACGTTAACAATTTTGATTTCAGTTTCCATACTTGACTTCCATTCTACCAAGGTTTTTGAGCAGTAATCTGCTCACGCAACTTGTGCAACATATGCGTATTTTACATACCTTCACATCGTTTAGATTGGAGTTTTTTTCACACGACTTTTATGTCTCCCAAGAATAGCCATTTCCAAGGGTGGCAGAGGAGAATACAGTTTGCGTTCTAGTGAATACCTAAGTTAGCTTTCTAGGAAGGACACTATTAATTGAGTGAGCGCTCGCGTATCAGTCGTATTTCGTCCCTGACGTCAGCGACCAATGTGTCGTATCGACCACGCTTTTGGTTCGTGACGTTCTCATTGATCACTGCCCCTCGCACCCGCTCTTGGCTGAATGATGTTTGCCAACTCATTCCAAGTGGCCACTTCAAACTGGGTTGCAATAGTAAACGTTAGAGAACCTAATTCAAAACTTTCTGGCTGATGATAGTTTTTGAAAACGTGAAGGCGCCTGAACGTGGGTAGAGTTTTAAACAAAGTATGGTTTTTATTTGTATAAATTCTCTCGCTACTGTGGATAAATGTGACAAAACGTCAGTCCAGAAATGATGCTGTATTCTTTGATGTAAGTTAGGGAACATCCAGTCCCACGGCTGGTGTAACTGGACAGTTAAGTCAAAGGTTTTGTTTAGTCGCTGGTACATTCAGAACACAAAACAACAAAAATTACTGTGTCGGTGATCTATTCTTTGGTCAATACAGACCGGGAGATTGTAAATAAACAGACAGGTTAAACCTAGAGCGAGGGATTAAAATATCACGTTACGATCACATGACACATTCTCGGTATCAAAGAGGAGCTCGATATGTCAGGTAGTGTAGATGGCCGTTGTTTTCTTCTTCGAGCTCGGAAAATATGTTTTTTTTTCACAAATATTCCGTCACCAACCGTGTTAACATTGTCCATGCTAGTCCATGTCGTAGTCCGTCCGTTGACGGCTGCTATGCTCATGCTTTTGTTTTGCTGACGCGGTGAGCTGGCCTCTGATTATGATGGGCCTCTTAAAACGTCAGGTCTGATAACCCAGAATTAACGGCTACAGTGTGAAAGTTGTTTTTAGGACCAAATGAATATAACGACACAAGAAAAACAACTGAATACTTCTAACAGATGCGCCCCAGTTTTGCCATTCCCATTTGACTAATCAGGCGGGCCCAGGTCCCCAATTTTTGTCAAAGTAATGTTCCACTTGAACCCATATTAGATAGATCTCGATCAATACACTTATATGCGCTTAGGTTTTTACGCGAGACTCAACTGATTGCACTGAGCGAAAGCCTTTTTGCCGGAAATCATGACATCCAAAGGCGGTTCCAGTGCTCCACCCCAAACTCGACTCACAAAAATGGAACCAATCTACGCCTTCCACAAGCAAGAAATGCGAATAAATCAGGTGGAAAGGTCAAAGTTTAAGTACCATAGGTCATGCGGCTTAGATTTATTGATCATCCTGGCACCGAACTTTGAGGCAATTTACCAACAATCCTACAAACGGAATCGGCCATCCAACCGACCAACTATTTTCGATGTAGAGCGCCTCGTCCCCCTCGCATCAACAAGACATGTATAAGCACAAACACAGCGCACAAACACATCTACACCACTATTATCGATGTAGAGCGCCTCGCCCCCCGCGCATCAACAAGACATGTATAAGCACAAACACAGCGCCACATCTACACCGACACGATAAGACACGTCGTCAGCTCACCATATCACCTCGGTTGGCGATGAAACGCCTTCAAACAAACCGCCCAACTCCACATAATGCAGAAAGACCACATACCAAATTGTTACACTACCAGCGATGAGCTTAAGTAGCTAGCAATCAGATGAGCATGCAAATGGTTTATGAGTACACAGATTCGACTGGCGTACAACAGCGGCATTTGTCTCTGCTGTGCTTCAACACTGAAACCGGATGCATATTGGCAAACACTAAATGGAGTATTCCTGAAATCAGTACTAACCGCATGACCAATGTCCCCAGAATGAGCGGTCCGTGAGCTGGCGTGAAACTTTCCCGTATAACTTGAAGCAAGGCCGGGGACCATGTGGCCACATAAAGTTCTCGGTTGGGTTATAAAATTGGAAACACCCCTATGGCAGGGCTGCACAACAGGGTTAAACAACAAAAGTGTATCAGAAAAATCGAATCAAAACGGGAGACAAGATGACGGCAGAAGTGACAACAGATGTCTTCTGGAAAGAGTTGTAAGTAATATATGCATGGGTTTAAATTGCGTCTCATTGTGTCATCAAATTAAGCCTTGCTCGTACACATTGGACATCCGAGTTCCCATTTTTGGGTTCGCCGATTAGAACAAACTATTTATTTCATGAACCCTGGTCTCGCGGAAAATGGAGACAAGTTAAAATATTCAAAGCTGTTGCATACCAGTATTATCCCTACTGGTCATCATCAACAATGGGCGTCACACGATTTTTTAAGGAGATTTTTGAATTCCGTACTTTTCTGTTGATGGAGAAACAAAAGATTATTCAGCACAACTTAATCTATTGATGTTGTTCGTTTAGAAGGAAACATCCAAAACGCGTTTCCATCTTACCGATTAGCCATCTTCTGTAAACAGAAAATGCGTTGTCTTCAGGTTCCAACTCAGGGAGAAAAATATGCTTATTTGTGCTCGTTTTGGGTGTGTTTGGAAAAGTAAGGGTCAACGTTTCTCAGTAGGAAAGGCATGACCAACAGTTTTATTGAAACTTTTATTGAAGGTCAAGATTTCGTAAGAACAAACCTTATACCACATTTCGAATTAATCCTTCACCCCCCGCGTCAAAACCGCCATCAAATTTGCACGGAAAGCTGCGTCCTTTGAACACATCATGACGGTGGTCTTACTCGGATGATTCCAATCCCTTATATTTATGGAGATTTCGTCCTGTAAGTGAAACCAATCTATGCCGAAAAGCCGAGAAGCACTGTACAGCTGTTTCATCTTTATTGGAAATCATCAACAGTGCGCATCTCACGAAACTCCGAAGAGTCTCGAACCCGCGACCTCCCGGCTAGTAGTTTGAACTCCTAATAAAATCCATTACAGCGACTCGGTTGGCCAGTTTTACAGTAGCCAACGTACTATTCCACGACATTACTAGTTCACATGCAAGTCAAACTGTAGAGATTTCGTCCTGTAAGGGAAGCCAATCTATTCTTCTCGGCTTTTCAGCATAGATGGGCTTCACTTACAGGATGAAATCTCCAAAAAATCCCTAATCTCCTCACGCTACCAACAATATATACGTAGCTCAGTGGAAGAATAAACTTCAACCGACGAGTGAGACTTCTGTATGCGAATTCGTTGCTCGTGTAACCAGTCATCACGTGTGATCGCCTGATGTGGGTCTCGTGATTGAAGGATGAGCGGCGCTATATCCTGTCTACGTGCGAGTTAATCACATTGCTGATCAGCCACTCGTGGCCGAACGGTCAAGTGTTCACACT